TTTGGTTGTAATGTGGATTTATTTAGAAAAAATATTATGCTTTGTTTTACATATTTTTCTAAATAAATCCATTACAACCAAAAACGTTTTTATGCACCTCTCTTCTTTTTAATATACATACTTTTCTCTCGTTGGAACCACTACAATATATTTCTTTTTTATATATATATATATATATATATATATATATATATATATACATATATATAATGGGGTGAAAGAAATATTGGTACACATACAAATTTTCAATTTATTATATTTCCAACTAATGAATAAACATACTTTTCATATAATTAACTGTACACAGTTGCATAATAACAAAATATGCATAGAAAACAGAATAAAAAACATTGAAGTCAGCACCAAGAGTTGTTGATTTCAAAGTTTTATTTTTGTCTCTTTTTTATTTTTATATTTTATATATCTTTGATATTTAGCTCTTTTACCCTGTACATATAGCATACCTTAAAACTATATTTTATCATATATATATATATATATATATATATATATATATATATATATATATATATATATATATATATATCTCGATCAGCTATGTGCCTTATAAAATCAATTTTCTGAATTACAGAAACAACTTGGAAAGAAATGCTCACCTGAACCATACTGATCTCTATTCAAACAATTACCTGCATTTGAAAATACTGCATACATTCCCAGGTGTTTTTACCTGCTGACTGTTCATCTTGGCTATGAACAAAAGAACTTATATAATAGTTGACCCACCTTCTTTGTAACGCCTCAGTATCTTCATATGTTCTTTCCGCAAACAAATGTGCTGTCAGAGAATGACGGCACTGTTTCAGGTTTTCATATTATATAAATACAATTAGAAGATTCCATCTTTATATTTGTGGGCTAAGAATAATCAAAGAGCTAAAAATAATCTAAGACATAAATTATGGCCTAGCGGTTGTCAAGTTTAAAATAGCCAAAATGTCTCTTTCTAGTCCATCATGAGAAGACCCCATTATGTAAAGATTGGCAATTCAACCATCTTTGTGCAATGGATTCTACCGGTGATGTAGAAAAGTGACACCAAATATTTTTCCATGTTTATTGTTTTTGTTGTCAAGAAGAAAAAAAAGTATACATATTCACTTACAATTCTGATTGCTTTTTAAAATAATATTGCTGGAAGAATGAAGGTAGTTAAAATAATAGTGGTGTCAAAGGAATGACACACTGCTTTTTGTGTTTTTTTTTGTTTCGTTTTTTTAAAAGAGCCCAGTCTATTCTAATGTTTAGCCTATAGTTGGGGTGTAAAGATATGGATTCATACTTGAACGCATATTCAGTTTAATCTCTGGACTATTAATAATATAAATGATGTATTGGATAATTGTGTGTGTGTATGTATGCCTTATATGTGTGTGTGTATATATATATATATATATATATATATATATAATTGCTGCTAATGTAATGCTCTTTTTCTCGAATCGAGCTCTCCTAGCTACTAACGTTTTTTGCATAGTAAAAACATTAAAATTTTCCTTTCTCTCTGCCCTGTAATGATAACTTGGGGGTAGAATTCTGACTGATGCCAAATCAGTTGGGTTTCAATCCTGACTTGAAGTAATTAGATGTCGAACCACACTGATGAGCTGCGATACAGTCAACCAGTCTGTCTGTGGATGACTATATATATATATATATATATACACGCACACACACACACACACCTACCACAAAAATCCAGTGTTGATGCAACCAACAGAAAACCTGCCATGTAACCCAAAGTGACTTTAATAAAATAAAAACCAAGAATCTCCCCAGCTCCAGGTATAAGAATACAGGGTGAAGAAGAGACATAAACTAAGAAAAAAAGACCAAAAGGCAGACACCTACCTAAACAGTAACAGTGTTGTATGCCTACATTGCCAAAACAGAGTAATTAAGCTTACCAGTATTACGTCTCCAAGACAAAATTCGGACCACCACTTCAGTTTCATGCTACCACAATTCAAAAATCACTGTAGAGTGAAACATAAGTACTAGTCAAACTTTGCTTCTTCTTTCTAATTGTGTGTGTGTGTGTGTGTGTAATATATATGTATATATATATATATATATATATATATATATATATATATATATATATATATATATATAATTATTTTATAAAAAATTATAACATAAGTATGTTATAAAATCACTACAAAAATAGCCATTTTGTTTCAACACACTCTGTGTCTTATCAAGTGATGATGTTGAAAAGAAAATAAATGGTTTTAAAAGTTTCAGATTAATTAACGATCCTACACTAGGGGAAACATTGTTACAAAAGCTAGAATAACCAATCAAAAACAAGTATAAAAAGATTCAAAAAAAAAGCTTGACAAACGAAATCCTGCTCTAATAGCTATTCAGATCTTTTAATACGTGTAATATTAAAATAATTTATACTAACTAATAATTATAAATTTACATGATAAAATTTAATATTAAAATTAAAAACTGGCAATTTTAAAAATCAAATTTAATCACTATTAAGTTTAAAAACTACAAAATTATTGAGAAAAGAAAAATATATATGTTTATTCAATTCATTTCTTCATTGAAATTACGTTCGACAAGACAAGATGCTACAATACATCCGGTCATTTGATAATACATGTATATATATTTTTCTTTTTCCTTTCTTTTCGTTTTTATTTTTAAAGTTTGTGAATATGGTCTTAAACTCACGCGTGACACAACAAAAAACACAATCAGATTATAATACATAAGCATCCAGACATAATTAGATACACACACACACTAAAAAAAAAAAAATATATATATATGCACACACACATACACATGCTAGATATTAAAAGTTCCTCAACCCGCTTCCTGAAATCTGGTTTGGTGATTGAAAAATTGGTTTACTTCTTTGTATATCCGAGACAATTATTACAGAGAGCTAAAAATAAAGCGTTGAAAATTCACTCATCAGCGCAAAATGACACCTCAAAGGCGATCAACTAGATCAATGAAAGATACAATTTCAGCTACCTCTGATAATATTTCGTTTGGTCGCATCTTTTACCAAAATAAACCATTTGTTGAAACGTATCTCTCATAATCTAAATGCATTAAAATTAGAACTACTATATTACCTACTAGGACTATCCGTAGTTTATTAAATAGCACCAGCAGACAACATATTACATCCGATGCTTGCATCTATCAAATATCATGCAAAAATTGTGACCTAAAATATGTGGGTGAAACAGGTAGGTCCTTAAAATCTCGTGTTTTCTGAACATAAACGAGATAATCGTCTCATTATTTTTAACAATGCTTTAGTTGTACACACAACTAAAGCAGATCATAAATTCGATTTCGATTCGTGAAAGTATTAAAATATTTTCATAATAAAAATCTCAGGAGGATTTATGAAGCAGGTATAATATCCATCTCACGCAACGGTGAATACTAGACCTGGTTTCTTTAATATTTCCCCTTTTTAGCGTAGATTGATGCTCGACAAGCATACACATAAAATTTTAGAACCTAATAGAATTCTTTTCATTTTTTCTTTTCATTTCAAAATAATCACAAACTTTTAGAATACGTTATGAAAGCGTCGCCCATGTGACGACAGCGTGACCATGTTAGACGGAAGGCTGATCATTTTAAAAATTTTCAGTTATCTGTTCTGAATAAGACTTGTGTTTTATGTCCATCGACGTTGTCATATTGAACTGAATTGTATTTTGATGAATATTGTCTTGAAAAGGTTTAATAAACCGAAACGTCAGACGTCGACATTTCTTTCATTTAACTACATTTAAGGATTTTTGTTTGTTTTTTCAAAATTTCTTCATATCTGAGAGTGTACTGAAAACATTTTACTTTGACCAAAATAATTCTGATGTTCAATTAATTGGTTAAATTTTGGTGAGTGAGTTTGGTTAAGAACTTTTCAGCACCCCCTCATATATCAGAAGACGCATAGACTACACATATGTAGAAACATTTATGGAGATAATTGTGTACACATGTATAAAAGAAATGATCAGGATATTGGCGGTTTCACAGAATACAGGTTAAGAAATCTATTATTTTCTTTTCTGCTTTTTAAATATTCTTGTTATATTCCCACTCATAAATCTTTATCAACCTATCGAATAAGTTCTCTTTCAATCAACACAGGTTTTACAATCAAGATACACTAATTTATTTCTTTATTTATTCCAAGAAATAAAAATGTATTGCCTCCAGTCTCTGCTTTTTATCAAGATATCTGGTGATAGGACAGTGTTCAGGGAGAAATGGCTTCATGCCTTCCCCAAAGTAATTACTAATTTTTTATATTCAACAAAGTATATAAATATTTCTATTTATTCTTCGTTAGAAAATTAGGAGGAAGAAAATTCAGTCACTTATCTACTGTGACAAAGATACACGACAGTCTTAGATTTTTTTGTTTTAAAACATTCTATCTGTACAAGACCCAAGAGCCACTCAAGGTAGAGTGTTACAAATCTAATTTATTGCCGTCTCTTTGAGGTTTTATTAATATGATTATCTTAACAAATCGCCTTTAAGCAAGTTTGGAGAATACCTTCTCAACTAGAGAAGAAAATTCAGTCACTGATCTATTGTGAAAAAGATATACAACTGTCTTCTATTTTTTTTACTATGATGTTCACCCTGTCCAAGGCCCGATAGCCACTTGAGGTAGAAAGAGTTACATAGTAAGAGGCACTTACATCTTACCATTGGAATACAAAGGGAATGAGGGTGGCTCGCTCCAATGTGCATAGTATGGTAAGTCTTAGACATGATAGAACTGTTGGAATTTGTCTGAACACTTACCATTAAAATAACAATAGAGCAGTGAGAGGCTTGCAATGTGTCATTTGTGAGAAAGAGGTTGTAGTGTGGAAAATAATTTGTCATTTACAAAAAATTGAAAGAAACTTTTATTGAAAGGCAAGAAGGGCAGAGGGAAAGATCATGACAATCTACTGACCTTTGATGAATACAAGCACACTGAGATAGATAGATAGATAGATAGATATAAAAGCACACCGAGATAAATAGATAGATAGATATACAAGCACACCATGATAGATAGATAGATAGATATGAGCACACCGAGATAGATAGATAGATACGAACAGAATGAGATGGATAGATAGATAGATAGATAGATATACAAGCACACCGAGATAGATAGATACATATGAGCACACTGAGATAGATAGATAGATATACAAGCACACCATGATAGATAGATAGATAGATATGAGCACACCGAGATAGATAGATAGATAGATAGATACGAACAGAATGAGATGGATAGGATGATAGATGAATGAGCACACTGAGATAGATAGATAGATAGATAGATACGAACAGAATGAGATGGATAGATAGATAGATAGATAGATATGAGCACACTGAGATAGATAGATAGATAGATAGATAGATATACGAGCACATTGAGATAGATAGATAGATAGATATACGAGCACACCAAGATAGATAGATATTTATAACAATAGAGCAGTGAGAGGCTTGCAATGTGTCATTTGTGAGAAAGAGGTTGTAGTGTGGAAAATAATTTGTCATTTACAAAAAATTGAAAGAAACTTTTATTGAAGGCAAGAAGGGCAGAGGGGAAGATCATGTAATCTACTGACCTTTGATAGATACGAGCACACTGAGATAGATAGATAGATAGATAGATAGATAGATATAAAAGCACACCGAGATAAATAGATAGATAGATATGAGCACACCGAGATAGATAGATAGATACGAACAGAATGAGATAGATAGATAGATAGATATACAAGCACACCGAGATAGATAGATAGATAGATAGATAGATACGAGCACACTGAGATAGATAGATAGATAGATATACAAGCACACTGAGATAGATAGATAGATAGATAGATACGAGCACATTGAGAGAGAGAGATAGATAGATAGATACAAACACACCGAGATAGATAGATAGATAGGAGCACACCGAGATAGATACTAGGACACTGAGATAGATACACACAGACTGAGATAGATAGATTTATACAAACAGACCAAAATAGATAGATAGATGCATACCGAGATATATAGATACAAATAGACTGAAATAAATAAACAGACACAGATAGATAGATAGATAGATAGATATGAGCATAATAAGAGATATGTTTTTACATAAACAAAATTAAGCAAGTAGAGAAATTTATCTCTGGCTAGTATTTACATTATATACATGTGGGCTATTGTCCTCATCTTTGTTGTTGTTATGTCTGTGTAGTGTAGTAACTTATGATGTAAACTGTGACACAGTGAAACCAAAGGTGCATCAAAACAGTAGAAGAGGCCTTCCACAAACTAAACAAAGTATTAAGAGGAAGAAAAATAGGGTAAGAAACAAAGAAAAGTATACTCAACTGCTATATCATATTTCTCCTCCTATATGGCAGTGAATGCAAAGATGTGGTTCTACAGAAGGATGCTGAGAATACCATGGGCAGAATATGTAGGCAATGAGAAACTTTACAAAAAAGAACTGGAAGTATACATACTTATAAAAAGAGTGTTCAAATCTCTGTAGCTCATTAAAGAAAAGAGGGCTTGGAAAATTTAATCCTCATAAGACATATTGAAAGGAGGATGGACAGAGAAAAACAGCAAGTAACCTACCTAATAAAACAAAAAGGGCATATAGTGAACATATAGAAAGAGACAGTTGAAATTTATAAGACACATAATGAGAAAAGATGGATTGGAAAATTTGGCACTCATAGGACAAGAGGGACAGAGGAAAACAGTGTGTAACCTACTCAATAATCTTGTATAAATGGATGGAAGTACAAGGTTTAAGAAAGGTAGCAAAAAGACAAAATTTAAACAGCTACAAAAGACAAGAAATTGTGAAGAGCCATGATTGCCAATGTCCTGAAGGGACATGGCAATTAGATGAAGAAGACCCTACCTAATGAATTTACGTGACTGGATGACAGATCAAGGACAAGGATGGATTGTGAAGAGTCAAACATTGCTTATAGTTACAAGAAAAGGGAAGTTGTGAAGAGCTATGATCACCTACAACCTAAAGAGACAGCATACATAAAAGAAGAACACATTAGAGTCATTAGTGCACCACATGAAAAGTAGCTCTCCTTCTCCTAGACTGGTGGCCATCCAAGGTAAGAGATTCCAGTCTGCCATTTAACTCATATGATCATCATTTTATTCAGGTGGCTCATTTTGGGCCCACTGTGGTTACCACTCACCTCCATCTCACAATTGTGCTACAGAGGGACATTCAAAGCAAAGCAGTGCAATGGATTGCCAGTTCCTATTGCACCAGGGTTGTTGAGGTTACCCCGTCCCACCTCTTTGTGAGGTGGATTTGTTTTTGAAGTTACCTTCTTCCAGCCTTTGACTAAAGAGTCAGGACCTACAAGGCAGCAGGATGGTTGGAATTCAGAGTTTTCTTCACCTAGACTGGTTGCCACCCAAGGCTAGTCTGTCCTGCTATTTTCCCATAGCTGGAGAAAAATGAATTCATACCTTTTCCAAGGGCATTAGTATGAGGTGAACAAACAGATTAATTTAGAAACTGAACCCAGCACACCAAATCTACTTTCCAGACTAATAAACATCATGCTACCAGCACAAGCATTTAGTGATAGTTTACACCAAAAACTAAGTGAGAAAATGAATAATATTTTTGGCAATCGAGTGCGATTTCCATAACTTCAGGTATATTCATTTGCTGTGGGACTCACTTTGTAAAATTATTCAGATAGAACCTGAAAGTGTTATTTTCTGGGATTGTAGTCTCAAAAGTATCACAGGTTAAAATATATATTTATCCTAAGCCTCTCCCTTTATTTTTATTTTTTTGAATATTTCGCATTTTCAAGTTATGACCCTGGCAAATAGATAAATAATTACACAGGCTGAAATTGCCTTTCATTTATTTATAAACTAAACCTGTTGGAGTTTTTTTAATGAATTATGGGTAAAAAAAAAAAAAAATGCTAAGTAATTTTTAGTTTTTATTTTCTGGGTAATGTTTTTATCTTTCTTTCTTTTTTTTTCTCCTCAATGTCTTAACCAGACCTTGATATTTATTTTCTTCTTACACGGATGAGAAAAGCTGGAGAAATAATTTTCAACAACACAGCATTCCCATGTTATTTAGCATTCTGTATTTTATTTTTATCTGAAAAAAAAAAACAAAAAAAAAAACATAAAAGTGAAAAGCTCAACAAAAACCTCATTAAACAGTTAATAAGGAACAAAACAACTGAATCTCAAAAATTTGCCAATAGCTGATATTTGCCAGCTCTGGAAAAATGGTGAGCTCTTTGTACCACTCTAGAAAGTACCAGACTCCTCCTAACATGCTCTGTATTAACAATAACCTGATCAGGCCAAATGGAGTATTGCTGCCATACCCAGGCTTGAGCTGCCCAATTCTCACTTTCCAGTCTTCAAAAGCATTAACAAATCCTTGTGGGAGATGAATCATTTTCATTACATAGTTTTAGTTTCAATCTCTATTAGGAATGACTGTAAAACACTTGCCACTCCCCAATTTATAGGCAGAAGCACACAAATACATGCTGGGATTTTTTCCTAGCCAATAAAATAGGCTTTGTCAAGCTCAGAAGGCAGCCCCAGCCGGCAACACCATTGGAAAGTGTCAGGAAACCATGCCACAGCTTGACACAAGCTTTGTGAGTGAAATTGGGTAGAATTTTCCATCGATGGGAGTCCTAGTACAATATCACAAGCCATTGTTGATCACATCAGATACTATGGAACTATAAAGTCAAGCCAGTGCAACAGCTTTATAATGTTTTTACAAAGTTTATATTGCCTGCTGTTGACATCTTTTTAGGATACTGTGAAGTGTTGGTCCTGAACACTCATGTTAATTTGAAGTTTGCATATATATATATATATATATATATAGATAGATAGATAGATATAATACATAAAAGGTTAATGGTCAGAGTTGAATCAGAGCTGGAAACAGTAGTATTAAAAAGTGCTCAATACATGTGTGAAAAAAAAGGTAAAAATAACACGTAGAGCTTTTAACTTTAAAAATCAGGAGGTTAATTGAATCTGCTACTTTGGTTTCAACCTTATGGTATCCTCAGGTGATTTTTATCAAATGACCACCTAATGTTTTTTTTATTTTTTTTACATTATTGTTTTAAAAAATAAACAAACAAATGAACAATGTTGGATGTAATAGAAAGGGAGAAGAAGGAGAAGAAGAAAAGCAAGTGTATTGTAAATACATCGGTAGGCGGTTAAATTACTTTTTTTTATTCAGCCTCATATGCACTTAAGGAAAATTTTCTGATATGTACGCAAGGACTTAAGACTTTGGATTTCTGGTTTAAAAGGTTTTTTGGATCTGGAAATGTCTTAATCACTAATTTTTCCTGTTGGCAGAGGTTGCAGATATGATTGTGATTGTTGTACAGTTTTGCCTTTTTTAAAATTTTCCACCTTATCAACAGATACCTGTTGTTTATATATTATGTATGCACACACACACACATATATATATATATATATACAAGTATATAATTGGTATATACAGAATGAATTCCAATAACGTAATTTCAATGAAGAAATGAATTGAATAAACATATATATTTTTTCTTTTCTCAATAATTTTGTAGTTTTTAAACTTAATAGTGATTAAATTTAGATTTTAAATTGCCAGTTTTTAATTTTAATATTAAATTTTATCATATAATTTTATAATTATTGGTTAGTATAAATTATTTTTAATATTACACATATTTTAAAGATCTGAATAGCTATTATAACATGATTTCGTTGTCAAGCTTTTGAATCTTTCTATACTTCGTTTTTGATTGGTTATTCTAGCTTTTGTAACAATGTTCCCCCCTAGTGTAGGATCGTTAATTAATCTGAAACTTTTAAAACCATTTATTTTATTTTCAACATCATCACTTGATAAGACACAGTGTGTTGAAACAAATTGGCTATTTTGTAGTGATTTTATAACATACTTATGTTTATAATTTTTTTTTTTTTTATAAAAAATAATTATATATATATATATATATCCATGTACCTATTCATAGACATTCCAGTTTATTGGGATTTTGTATCACAAAAGATTACAAAGAGAACCACAAAAATAGAAAATAATTGGGAGATTAAAAAGTATCTAAAATCTTGTTTCTCATATTTGCAGTCTTGGATTGCCATTGCAAAGTTATAAATGGAAAGAGTCAATAAATGACAAAGAAATAAGCTTGATTAATTTAACATTAATTGGTGTGTTTACAGTTATCAGGACGAACGTGCTTGAAATTCAAGAATATGACGGCAGAAAAGACAAATTAGTATACCGCTAATTAAACTGTTCTTAATTATTAGTGTCCCATCAAGAGAATTGCACATGGCATGTAATTAAATCCAACAATATAGGACGATCCAGATTATTTTGTCAAGAAGAGCATGTGCTAGTTTCGCTGGACAATCAGAAACATGTTTGGGAAATTTAACAGGGAGTGATACTTACTGAACTAACGTTGCAGACCATTAATATAGTGAAGTGAATCTTGTTCTCACTGGAAATAAGGGTAGATAGGTTCACCTATCGTCTGGTTCATGCTCCTCCCTTGTTTTTTTGAACAGGAGTAGAGGTTTATCTCATTTCCTGTTCAGGACTGGGTTTCCGGTTCCTTCTAAAGTTCATTTCCACACTGTACTTCTAACGTTTCAGACTGACTGGACTCTGAAATGTTATTCACTAATTAAATCTTGACCGCTTTTAGTCTCGCCGTTCCTTATGCTAATACAACACCACACAATGACCCTCCACCTTGAGTGGCTCAACATTAGTCAAAAAAAAACAAAACTTTATCTTAAAATGTGACAATGAAATCCGAAGGTGCATTGGGATAGCAAAAATTACCTTCCGAAAGCTAAGCAAAGTATAAAGAAACAGAAAAATGCTATTAGAAACAAAGAAAAGTGTACTGAACTGTTACATAATATCAGTTCTATATGGTAGTGAATGATGGACAATCTCCTCAGAACCTGTCTGCTGTTTCAACTATGTATCTATATATAAATTTATAAAAATAAGTAAATTGATCTGATAATTTTAAATAATCTTTA